CAGAAAGGATGCTGTTGGCTGTTTTGCCCAACATCTTGAACAGTATTGCCCGTGGGACTCACTGCTTGTTCTCTGAACTGGGTCAATAATGTCTCTGACCCAGGACTTTTCCAGGCAGTAATCTGAGTGTTACTGATGCTTACTAAGCAATACTACCCTGCAATCATTCTTAAAAAATAACAAAAAAAAAAAAAAATCTATGTATTTCTGTCTTATCATTTAAGGATCCTAAAACCCAGCTCTTTCTTAACTGTCTTTCAAGGAGACAATAACTGCTTGCTATGTTCTGGAAAGGTCCTTTATATTTGATATTAACTAATGGGGATGAAATTGCTCTTGGCTTTTGATATTCCTAAGTGTTCCCCTTTGGGGGCTGGATTCCTTCCCAGCAAGTGGCAGCAGCCACCAGCAAAGGTGAGTTTGACATTGCTGCAAATTCTCCCTGCAGCAACCCGTGCTACTGTGCCAGAATTGACTCCCTTTGTTCAGATTATTTATTGAAGGTGAACTCCTTGAGCACACAGAGTACAGCATGTTTTCCTGAGCACAAGCAAGGATCACAGAGATATGCTGGAGGAAAAGGTCTCACCATAAAACCAAGTCAGACACTGCATAGGTTTCAGGCTGCTACCTCCAGCTACTCTTGGATACTTGGTTCCAGGCAAGGGGCAGCTTCCCTTTTCCAGTAGAGCCTTTGGCTCAAGTAATCTGGGGAAAGATTATTTTTGTTTATAGTTTAGAAAGAAAGGAGGGAGAACTGGGATACTTGGCTCTCTGTACCTCCCTTTTCCTGTCTGTGAAATGTGGGCAACAATACTTTACCTTCTTCAGAGGGACATTTGCAAGCTAATGGACTGAAAGTGCTCAGAAACTCCCCACATCAGCAATTGGGACACATTGGCAATCTGCCCAATAGCTTTTAGATATGCCTTACCTAAGCAACAGTGGGCGATAAATGATATAAACATGTTGTCTCTAGTGTGCTGGCGGCTCTCTAGGTGCTGTGTGGTCTGTGTATCTGCAGGGAGTGCTGCTATTTGCTATGTGTTGGGAGTCTTCTCCTCCATTTCTTCTGGGTTCCACAGAATCTGCCTGCGACTTTGCTGGCAGAACTGCCTTTTTAGCCAAGAGAGGGTTCCTGCATTCCAGCATTGCCATCAGCTCAAATGAAGTTTGGCTAACGGGCCACAGTGCCTGCAGGTTCTTGAAGGCTGGCATGCTTCTGCAAGCACCAGACCGTGACAGGGTCCGCTACCTCCAGCCTCTTGCTTAAATTATAAATGTTGACACTTTTTATGGCATTGCAATTGTGTTCTCTGCTGGCTCTGGACTAATCCTCTGTCATGACAGGAAGGTATTTCTCTGGATACTTATGCTGTGAGACTGGGAGCAGAATGCAACCCTGAAGGCTTTCAGCAGTAGTAAGTTGCTTTCATTGCTAGTATATAAAAAACCTGCCACGCTGTCTCTTTGATATCTTTCCTGGATTAGTGCTGCTGCAAGGCTTCTCTGATCTCTGTCACTAAATGACACAACACAGAAGGGCAATGTAGAAGTGAAATTAGCAGAAAGGGATCTCTCTGCTTTAAAGCCAGGGTGATCTTTGGGAAAAGAATTACTTAGATCTTTGATGCTGCAAAAGGCCAGGCAAGTGGGGCATGCAGGAGAAATCCAATTGTTCGAATAGTGGGAACACTGAGAGAAAAATGTTAGTGTCAATCTCAGGTTAATTGGAAAATATTCAAAGGACTTCGTTTTGCTCAACTTTGAGGTTAGAAGTTCCCTGGGGTTCTATGGAAACAACGCAATGCTGGCAGCAACTTTGAAATAAGCAGGAGTAAGCTGCAAAGCAAAGAAGTTGTTAGAGGGGATGTGACCTCCTTGTGGACGGGTGGACGGGGCAGCAATAAAGCAGAGATGAGAATGCTGTGCCAGCTGCTCTTGCTTCAAAAGAAGTCTGTGGTGTGGCATAAGTCGATAGGTATGAACATATCACTCCGAAGACAGATTCATCCTCTGTTCATCCTGACATCCAGCATCAAAGACAAGGTCACCTAACTTCAAGCACTCCCTGGATTGTGTGCACAGCCTGTGGGAAGCACCAGACACACCAGCTATGTTGTGACTCCACTGGTCTGTTAAAAAGACCAACAGCAGCATCAGTGGTAAACCTTGTATTGCTCTGCAACAAAAGCCTAGGTTCTTGGATTAACTGTGTGCACTCATTAAGGCCACCCCTTTATTTTGCTATCTTTTGGGGTTTTTTTTCTGCTTAAACATCAAGTGTTTCAGGGTAGGAAGCATCTTAGCTTGCATTTATACAGTATCCTGCCGAACAGGAACCTGCCTGTGGTACTGAGGCTTCTTGGCAGTGCTGATTGTAACCCATGGGTATGGGAGGTTGGGAAGACTTGCCCAGCAAGTCTGGAGCCTGCAGAGCTAGTTCAGCTTAGAGAGCCACACAGGGAGCCTTTGGGGCTCTTAGCAGTGAGGGGAGAGTGATACAGCAAGGTTGTTCTTCTCCCTAGGCCTCATGCCAGGGTCATTCCAGCTGAAGACCTTTCTACACCATCTGCAGCAGGACAACACAGGGAGATGAAGATTTTCTGTCGTAACAGCTAAGAGGAGGTTTGAGAGCAGCTCTTTAGCCAGGGAGTTAAAGGAGCCAATTCAGAAAGAAGGCAGATTCACTTTCCTAACCTACTTCTGGAGAAAAGGCAGCTCTCCAGGATTGGGACTTAGCTTCTCTGTATTGCCTCAGAAGGACTTCAGGCTTTTGGAGAACATGAAGGTTGTAACCGTGTTCAGGGGTGCACAGTGTTTAACTATGCACCTGGGTTTAAGAGTGAGATGGTGATGACATGGATCAGGTTGTATAATAGCCAAGAGTCATGGCCAAAGTAGCTGGGAACTGGGCACACTACCAGTCTCAAAGTACAACCTCCAACAGACCTCTTGGAAGAGGGAACCTGGCTGCTCTTCTGAGGACAGTCCTCCAGGCTTCTTATGAAGAGCAGAAGTGTTTCCCAGTTTTGGCCTGTGCGTCAGTTTTGATGATTGAAAAATCACTTCTATTGATTGAAGAATTCTCTCTTGCTTCTAGCAGTCTGAGTTATAGAATAAAGAAAGAGGGTTTCAGACTTCTTTTATGCTTGGTTTTTGTTCCCTCTCTCCCCACCCCCACACTTTGAACTATGAAAGACTGAGACTGGCTGTTCTAGTTTGATCAATTTTGTAAGTTATGCCATCAAAATCTGCATGGTTACCCTTGCACAAAAGCTGGGACCTCTGTTGTACCTCCAGTCAGGTAACCAGTCTTGAGCTGCAGGCATTCAGGGAAACAATTCACCATTTGACTTGTGTTGGACCTTCCTACCCAGGCCCAAGTTAATGGTGCAGGTTTTGTTTTCCTACTGAGTTTGGCTGGCTGGCTCAGGCTCCTAGCTCTCACTTTTAGCTCTGCATTTTACCTGCAGCCTTAATTGCACTGTAGTAACAAGTAGTTTTCCCTGCTGAGGGAACTCAATGGTACCTATGGGCTGTCACGAAGTTGTCCACTGGCCTTCTCTTTTTGCTCCTGTAGTGCTTTGAAGGCTCTGGTAATGCTCCTTATCAGTGTTGTGTAATGGTCACAGGGCATTCCAAGAGTCAACAGTATGTTGTAAAAAGGCCAAAAGCCAACACCTGTGTGCACTGCCCCTTGTATCCAACAATAAAATAACCACTTGGTGAACCTTAACCTCTTACTGACTGCTATTGTTGTTTTCTCCCATGTCAACATCACTCAGCTTTTTCAGTTCAGGTTCAATGCAGACTGAAGACTGCATAAAATATAGAAGAGAAAATTCTCAGGGGAAAAGAACCCTAACACATCATCTATAATGATAGACTGAGCATCGTATTTATCATCTTAAACTGGGTACAATTTTATGTTAATATAGAGTAGTATCACTCCTTCAAGAAGATAATTTTAACTGATTCCCTAACGGAAATGAACTGTCATTTACAGGCAAGAAATGCATATTTTGAAACTTTGCTTTGTATTTCGATTTTGCAAAGTGCAGGTTCTGGGCTTCCACCCTTGGGAGACTTGTTTCTTGCATAAGCCTGTGGTAGATGGGCTGCTTGGGAAGTGTGGGTGACCCAAAACAACACAGGTGTTCCTATCCTCTGATGGCATCAGAGGGACGCAAAGGGCCCAGAGGGAACCACAATCAACATAAACTTCAGTCGTGGTGAGAGGTTGGAGTGATATCCCCTCTCAAGGTATGTTGAAAATTTCCGTAAAATAAATGTCCACAACCAGTTTTCCAGAAGGTGCAAGACAGACATGAGGGAAATCCAGGCATGTTTTCTGTGCCTTGGAAATGAATTTTTTCCAATGAGTCCTCCTAGGAAGTTTAGTCTACTACTATGTAGAAGTTACCATTACCTTATCTTGTTAGCACATCAGTGGCTAGCAACTGGTCTAGATGTACCAGTGCAGGTGTTCTAAACTGCTGTTTACCTGAAACTAAGCGTTTTCTACTAATGTTCATCACAGCTCCATAACTGTGTGGTGAGTTACATTGCCTGAGTCTTTTACAGAACTCTTGAATAACCTTAGTTGGAGCATTCAATCTTTCTGAACTTGGAGAATAGCACTAACACCTATGAGCAGTGTGGCACGGGGAGAGATTCAGCTAATATTTGTGGAACAGTAGGAGTCTTTAGAGGCATAAGAGTCTTAGCTAATATTTGCAGAACACTTTGAGGTCTTGGGATGGATGCTGCTACCAAAGGGTAAAGTGGTATTCACATGTTCTGTCATGTCTGTGTTGTTTACAAATAGAATAGAATGATGTTTTGAAGGTCAGAGACCTTAAGAACAATAGTGGGTTTGAAGCACTCATTTATTTTTACCAAGTTCAGATGCCTGGCATAAACTAGCCGTTTCATTTATGTAGAAGATCTGATCAAACATTTTGGTTGTTTAAAAGAGTTGTTTTTCTTGGTTTTAGGCTGTTGAAATGTCAGATGGTAAAAACAAGCAAGAGTTCCAGATGGGGCAAGTGGAAAAGAAACGTGACAAAGATGGTAATGGGAAAGCTTCAGATTCTCACTTGACTGGGAGTCTCATGACTTCACCTGTGACTTCCAAACCCACTCTCTGTGCAAGCTCTTGTACAAAGCAGCATTCCTTACATGAAGTTCTTCATTACCAGGGTAAGCAAAGCCAGTAAAGGTTTATTTTCACTGATCACTCGTCCATACATGCTAGGAATTGTTTGGGAGCTGGAGTTTCATCTCGAATACTCAGCTTTTATATAGCCAAGTAAATCATAAGTGCTCTGTTTTAGTGACCCCAAATTTGAATTAGGGTTTCATGACTTACATTTACAGGTCAAGGAAGTGCCCAGTAGTTTGAGCTCATTCACTAGCTTTCAAGCTGTGATTTGCACCAGCAGATGAATTTCTGTCTCCATAACTTCTAGTGATGATACAAGCTAAATCTATATTTGAGTAGTGGTGGAAGACAAGGCATATAAATGCTGCAAAATCCCTGGTCACTGATGGAGAAATAAAAGCTAGTAAAAAGGGATTTATCTAATCAGACAACTCATTTAATACAAAAAATTTGTCTCAATTTCTCTAGTCTATGGCCAGCTTTCTTGAACACAAAGGGAGACATAATTTGTACTGGCAAAGCTAACCCTGACTTATAATCAGAGTAAACAGTTGGTGCAAATTGCAGCCTTTGTTTACACTAGCTGTGCTAGTCACGGAGGGCTGGAGTTGCAGCAAATTCCTAATGTATGTTGCTGTCTAATTTGTTATGTTGGTGGTGGTTTATTCCCTAATGCTTAAGAAGCAGAACACAGTAGAGGAGACTGAAATTACCTTGCGGTGACCAACTGCAACACCTTCTTTCATGGTGGTAAATGTAATATGAGAATGTACAAAGATGGTGTCAGGGTGTTCATGGTCAATCACTGCCATTTATTGTGTTAGTCATTTATTGCAAAGGCTCAATTATAAGTGCTTTAAACTCCTGAGAGAAGCTGCTTGACACCTTGCAAGGCTGTGCCCTTAGTTTATGTACCAATCTAAGGGATGGGCAGAGAGACTTTCTGGAGGGAAAAAAGTTCACTGAAAGCCACTAACCTGTGGAATGTGTGAATGTGGTCTCTAGTTCTGTTCTGGAGAATGCTGTTCCAAAATACCACCTCTGGAGAGCCTTACTCATCAGCAGAGATATTTATAAACTGCAATCAGTGGCTGTCCATGAGCTCTTGTACCCCAAAGGTAAAGGGAGTGGCACAAATAATTATTCCTAAATTCAACAGTTAAGAACATGTGATGTATGGAGGAATGGAGCTAAACCCATGAGATTGTTGCTGTCTAATTAATGGCTCTTTGTTGCTGTGCCATAGACTGTACTGTGCTTTGAGCAGCAGCACTGAAATAGGTAAGTTCCCTGTGCTTAGGTTTGGAACTTGCCAATTCAGGCTTCCTACATACTCCCAAAAACTAATCTGAAGACTTCAGTCACATAAGACTCTGCCTGTATGAGTCAAATAACATGAATGTATGAAATCGAGCATGTAAGCACGCTCATAATAGCCTTCATTTTAGAGGTTAATATTCAAGTGGTTAAACCCCAAAGTATAATGATTATATGAGAAAGTAATTATTTACTGACTTTGAGTTCAGTTCTGGGAGGCAAATCAGAAGTGCTTTGGGGGCTAAAGGTATAGTCAGTAACTTGCAGAACTGAATCTTACTTTCTAGCAGACAAAATAATCTGGCTTTGTTAATTACAGTCATTTTTGTCTAATCCTTTTGCTCTGCATTTCTTTGTGGAAAGTAGCTTTATGTCCTCTGAGCAAAGATGATCAAGGCAAGAGGGAGGTGGGTGAGGCTGAAACCATCTAAATGCTCCTGGTTCTGCATTTTGCTACTGACGGAAAAAGCCACTCATGTTGAAGCTTGTGAGCTTTCTAGGCAAATGAATATGTGAGGTATGGGGACTTCACACAACTCTTACTGTATCTCCTTACACATCTTCTTGTATCTCAGGAGAGACTACCAGTAGCTCTGTACTTTCTCCCCTCCAGCTCTGCCTTTTATGTCAGCTGTTGATACTAATGTGTCATACAGAATCAGCTAGATTTTTCTATTCTGTTTTTCCTTTCCTTGTTTAACATTGCTCTAAATTTAATGTAGTTTCAGGAAAGCTGCTGAAATAACACATATGCAACAAAGAATCCTCTTAAACATGTTAGAAACTTCTGTAAACCAACAGGTGATTGCAGTAACCCATGAGGCTCCCTGTGCTTCTGCCTTGGGTTCTGTTATAACAGCTTAAGATCTTCAAGATCACTTTGATAGTTTTCAGCATTTTGGTGACTGAGATATTTCTTGCTCAGACCTAGTAGGTCCTCCCTTGTGGTGAAACCTTTGACAGACTGTCAGAATGTCATGGTGTCATGGTTGCCTTGTTGCCATCTGCATGAGAAATGTTGGGACATGAATGATTGTCTTTTTTATTTTGTTTTGTTTGGGCTTTTGGCCACGTAAAGAATAGGTAATGGACTAGATAAGTAATTTTGACTTGTCTACTATGGAGTACAGGATCTAAAGCAAACTAATGTTAATGGTTTTCTATGAAGGCACCATCTACACATTTGACACGGATCTGATGATCTGAAAATGAAGCAGAAGTAGTTACATTTTAGCTGTGGTCTTTTATTGTCAGGTTTATTTTACTGTTCTTCCACAACATTTTCTTATTTTAGACACAAGTGCTTGACCAAGCCATAGAAGATCCATGTCACCAAAAGTACAAAGAAAACTTCTCAAGCTTCTGGATTTTGTCTGAGAGATTGTGAATGTAAATATGGGTTTTGGCTGTGGTGATGGTGTGGGTGATGTGTTGTTGGAAAGAAGACATGGGAGGCCTGGAACAGCTGCAGCACAGCGGTGCATGTGAGGTATGTGGATACAGAACAAATGCCCAAGCTAACTGGGTTGTGCTGGACTAGGTGCCAGCGTTGTTTAGCATGAAGCTGGTGTTCGGCCTAGCGCGTCTACAGTTAGATGTATATTTAGAATGAAGATCTATTTCTAGTTATATTCTTCTGAAGTGATTTCTAGATAAGTCAGTTATCTCAGTCCTCTTAGAATGGGATCTATTAATTACATGAATTCTAAGCATAGAGCAAAGATGATCAAAGCAGATGGTGCAATGGGATACTGAGATGCACAGTGTGGTTTAACACTGATGATGTCTGTTCATTGTTTGTGAAATTCTTTGAAGATGAGTGATATGTAATGTTTCTAATTGATTATATTACCTAGAGTGTTATCTGGAAGGCATTTGATAGGGATTCAAGATATCTGGCTCCATTCCTTGTTATTTCATTGGCTAGCTGAGCAAGTTCATTCTTCCAGTATTAAAATGCAGATAGTCACCCATAAAACCAAGATAATTACACCGTCCTTTTTGAAAAGTACTTGGAAACCTACTGATTACAAATTGTGGATGCATTTTTCTGAGTTATTACTGTTTTCTTTGTTTAGACAAGATAATAATAACAGACATGTCAACGTCAGTGAATCTGTGATTTGCTCAGAGCAGGCAATGAGAGATGGGAACTTGAATCATTATTGATTTCGATTTAAAGGTCTCTGCTAGCTGCTTCTTTAAAGGAAACAATAAAGGCTGATGCCAGAGCTTTTCTTTTTGCTGGAACTTGGTGCTTCTCTGCAGTGCCTATTTCTGGTTAAAAAAATCCTAGCAGTTGGCAAATGACAAGTCTTCATTCTAATAGGTGGCACATCACTCTTGTCTGAGAGTGTAAATGTTCTGTAGAAGCTTTGCAGGTGGCATCCTAGATTTAGCGGAGACAAGAATAACAACTATTGCTGTTCTTGACAATTCTGAGGTCTCTTAAAGCCATTTGAAAAGTGCAGAAGTAGGTGCTGGCAGGATCAGGTTTAGGTGCTTTGGAAAGCCATTTTGTACTAAACGGCTGTATATCAGCCCAAGACATCACCCACAGAATGTCATCTTTTGAGAGAAGGCCTTTTTTTCCAAGTCTTAAATACAGCTTTCCATCTTAATACTTCCTGAAAAACTTGTGTTTTTATTTGCTGTCCTGAAGAGGTGCAGAAAAGAAGTCCCTACCTGATCTTGAGTTAGTGGAGGTTAATGTTGCTGGAAGGAAGGTGGGCATTTATACGAGTAAGAGAATGGATAGCTGCTGGAGGAGCCAGCATCACTAATGGAGAACTGACATTGATATCCTCTCTCAATCCCATGCTATTGTTATTCAACGTGCCTGAAAAGACAGTGAAAAGGAGGAGATACCTTAGGTTAGAATTACTGCAAGGCATCCATTTCCATGACAGTGTTGTGGTAGCAAACACTTCACACTGTTCTCCAAGGTTGGATCTGAACTCTGGACCAACTAATTCCATGGCTGATTTGCTGCTCACGCCAAGCCCGTAACGAAAACTCACTTTCTGCTTTTTGCAGGAAGTGACGCTTCACACAAGAAGTAGTGTTGACCAGTTGATCTTAGTGCAGGTGAAGACAGAAAAGAGCACAGAAGATTGAGTAAATGGCTTTCCCCCTTGTAGAACTTGGTCTTGCTAAAACAGTATTAAGATCTTCCAACCTAGCAGACAGCAATCACTACGTGTTTTTTTCCCAAATGTCACTGAAATACCCTCTTGTTGCTAAATCCCAGGTTGAAGGTGCCAAGTCTGCCTTTTATGTGGTCTTGGCCACAAGAGGCAAAAACTGATGCTGCATTTCCTAGTGCTGGGTGATGTTCGAACACGCCCTGAACCTCAGCCATTCCCTTCTCCAAAGAATTTGTGACTGGAACAGACCAGACAAAATGGGGAGGAAAACGCTCCTTTTCCAAAGACAGTTTTAAGCTGGTGTAGGCACAGAGGAATCTGCTCCTTAAAACATTGCTATTATCCAATTGTTGTGGACAGCATAGGAAATATACCCAGATTTCTGCAACAACCGATTTGATCATTTGGCAGCAAGAAGATACGCTGCCAACAGGCTTCTTCCACTGTCTTTTGGGAATGCAGTATCCTCAATACAGGCATCTCTTAAATTGTCTGCTCCTCAGGGTCTATATCACTGTACCAGATAGGCTCTGAAATGTAGGGAATTCCTTGCAGAAGATGGGAATACAGATCTG